AGAGGAATCTTGTCAGTGGAGATGTTGAAAAATCTTATATGAGGTATACAATCTGCAATAATATCCTTGACTGTGTCAAGGTCATTAGATGACCAGTCATCTGGATCATTTCCAAGTTCTAATTCAGGCACTTGTTTAGTAGCCCACTGAATGACTGACATCCAAATATCATCTTCATCCATACCAAGCTCATCACTTTTGAGAAGGGTGATTAGAGTCTCCTTTGGTAAAGCTGCAAGATCATTCGATTTGAAGATAATATCTGGGTGGGAAGCCATAATTCGATTACAGTAAACCAGAAGTTTGTTCAAAGAGACTGCAGATGCGGCATATTTATGAACTGTGATAATATTCTCTTGGATCCAATCCTCCTGTTTATCAATCAAAAAAGTTTCAATTGCAGTAAGAAGATCAAGTAATTCAAGCTTGCTAGCTCCGTCCAGAAGGCTGATCCAACCCACATTCTTGCATGCATTATAGGACATTCGGCCAGTGTAAATGTACCTAGGATGAATCGTTAAATTGTGATTAATATTGGCATTTACATTGTACATACACGATTATGCACATCTCTTTGAAATTTACCTAAGTAATATTTCGAAAACGTCGGGAGTCATATCTTCAAACGTTAGAGCTGCTTTTTGAATCTCTTCAGACGTCTCTGTATTTCCGGCTAGACTATTCTCAAGAAATGTGCTTCTCGCACATAGGACCAATGTGTGAGCGAGAAATATTTTGCTATTTGGCTCTCTTCCAACATGAATCGAAATATCTGTGTATTTGCCATTTTCGTAAAATTTCTCATAATCTGATGAAAGTCCCGAGGTCAAATCAACAAAGTTATCCATATTCATGTTTGCAAGGTTTAAAGAACTCCTAAACGATTTTGATTTTATCGATTGTCTGTGCAACATACTTGCTTATTAATCTTTATGGTTATTTCTAGTATAATCTCATTCAATGTGTTGTAAATTATGCGAGAAACGCAGAGGTGTATTGCTGTGTTTTTCTTGATCTGTTGATCGAAGCGAGAATCTTCTCTAGATTTATTCTCAGAAATGAGTCTTTCTTAGTCAAGGCATAAATTTATTGCGTATTGTATGCTCACCTGACGGGATTTGTTCTTCCCCGCATACACTTTTACAATGTTGACCAATGATACTATGAAACGCTCTTTGTTCAATATAATGTAGTTTATTGACATTCTTGTTCATCCTGTCAAAAGGAAGTAATTATGACACCTGGTATATTTAGACTCAGAAAGTGAGATATTATATACGTTGTCTACATCACTATTGTTGCAGTGTTCTGTCGTAATAAACTTCATAATCATCAGCAAAATAGTGATGCGAATTCAATCAAGATTATCAAGACTCTTAAGTGTTGAATTTATTAAATTTATACTTGCAGGTTTTTTTTACAGCAACTCTATTTATTTTATGTACCAAAAGATGAAGGCAGCAATCACAATGTTGTCGGTATGTTCATTGTATTACGTTTTCTGCTCTCGTCTGAATTGTTTATTCGCTATCATAACATACTGTTAAAGCCAGCATCATGTCTCTACTCTACTGGCGTACCCAAATTATTAAATCTGCCGCCAGAAGAGTAGTAATCAGTTGCCAGTATCTATATCAATAGTATTAGCTCTATTCCGAATATGTTTCATAAGTGGTAGCTTTGAAGAACAAATTTCTTCTCTAATTAATCGGTTTATGGTAGGTAGTAGCGTGTCCTTGAGCGTCTTCAGTGTTTTCACTCACAATAAATACATGAATCCAAGGAGAGCGGTTTGTTAAACTAGATGGGTGGGGTGGCAATATATTCTTGCTTGGTATTCATTTTTTAGAAACGATGCCTATTATAATTAACCAACTGCGTTGTTGATTGTGCAATTAATATTAATGCTTCAAACTATTTATTTATGCAATATTGTCACTAGTTTTACCAATACTTATGAATGTCAAAAAGGGCGGAACAATTCGGGAGGAAACTCTATGTATAGCCTCTGAGGTTGTTCTTCGGGCAACCTGCGGATTGTCTATTAATAAATACTAGGTAACGTAGCCCTGTTCACATTATGGACGAAATAATATTTTGTACTATTTCTCGAGAAACTTTTTCCCACTCTTCATCATAAATTGCTTCAATTTATCTACATATTTAGGGGGGTTTCTTTGGCCAACATTTTTCCAACAAGGTCCTTTGTTATTACACAGCTCTCTAAATTTTGCAGTTGTATTACCATGTGGTTGAATCTTATAATACATGACGGGAACTTTGTGTATTGTAACGCTGTTTCTGGGCATCTTTGTTTAAATTTTCAATTTTTACTTGCTAATTTTACTTAAAATTGTCGGGTAGTGATTTTTTCCCTTAAACTACTGAACTAGGAGACCATTATAATAGGTAACCCAGTAACTGTATAATTATTATAATAAATCCATTTTGTCATTCAATTGTATAATTCATTACACGACCCCTTAACTGATACTTGGTCATGCAAGCCACCCTTTTTTATACATCTACTGATTTAACTTACTGCCAATCTTTGGTCGGAGCAGCAAATTTATTAATTGCACAGTATTGTAAAACTTTTTTATACATCAATCAATACACGTTACTAGTGAGCGCATTAACCTACTTTATTCTACTTTTTTAGAAATATTATTACTTACACAATTATATTTATTAGTAAAACTTTAAAATATTTTGAGTACAGTAATAGAAGTACAGTATGTTCCTGTCATAAATCATCGGTAAGAAAACGTCCATGTTTATTTCTTGTTAGTAGCAAATTAATGTATCGAAAAAATTGACAACATTAGAGTAAACTATGTAGCTACGACAAATTTTTTATCGATCTAAAGCATGTGAATAGTATTTTCACAAACTAGTAAACTTAAAATACATTTGCTACATAACTATACTTGTCTCTACAGTTTTAGCCCCATTTTCGCTCGACCAACCTCTTCCCCGTAAACTCAAGAAACCACAGACTACTTTGAGATGTTAATCACGTATTTTCATATTCGGTTGTTTAGCAAAAAACCCAAACACTATTGGTAATATTGTAATTGTTATCAGTAGACTTTTCAATGACAGCAATGTAATTCAATATATAGTAAAAGTTAGGCAAATAGTTTCGCAAGAAAGGCGTCGTACAGCTTGTGACAAAACTATATTGATTTTATAACCCTAAAGTTATATTAATAAAACTTTAAGAAATTTATTTTATTTAAAACAGTACACGTAACGTATAATTTAACATAATACAAATATTACTATTATGACAACAGCATCATGATAAAAATTACTGCATATCGAGGAAAGCGTCCATTAGTGCAATTGTATCAAACTGCAAAACCGAAACTTCATGTATTAAAAAATGCAGAACAAACGTCGTTATAACAATCTTGGATGTTTTTGACCATACATTGTGGTATAATAAATGTAGTCACATGTATTGTTTGCTCATTTGTCAATTATACAATTTGTAATCATAATCTATATGCTCACGCTTTAGCAGTTACAAACAGAAAACTACACCTGTGGAGTTGGAAAGCGTAGTAGCTTAAAGAAGCAGAATGTCGGAAATTTTCACACCACAAGTAGTACATACAGGACAAGAGCAATACAATATTCTATTACATAATAATAAGGCCGATGTTGTTAAGCGAATCATTTGATCAGATAAATATGTTACACACATGATTGATACTTTAAACTTGCGGCGCGACGAAAAATGGGAAAACTTTACGAAAGCGTCAAATATACGGACGTTTCAATTCATGTTGGAAGGGAACTAATAGCAAAATATTTCTCGCTTATACGTTGGTGTCATGCACAAGAAGCACACGTCTTGAGAATAGCCTAACCGGAAATGCGGAGAGATTCAAATAGCAGCCATAACGTTTGAAGATATGACTCCTGACGTTTTTGAAATACTGCTTAGGTAAACTTCATAAGTTAAACATTGAGATAACATAGATATTAATATGTGAAACTTGCGTGTGCCAATATCCATGATACTAATAATTCTGTAGATCTGTTTACGCTACGAATGCCCTATATACTATAATGCAGTTGGATCTGCCTTTTGGACGGGGCTAGCAAGCTTGAATTACTTGCTCTCCTTACTACAATTGAAACTTGTTTAATTGATAAACAAAAGGATTGGGATTGAATATTCTCGCAGTTTATAAGTATGCTACTCTTTGAATAGGCTTCTGGGTATTGTAATCGAATTCGCGTTTCACACCGGATATTATCTTCAAATCGAATGATCTTGCAGCTTTACCAAAGGCGACTCTATCACACTTCTCAAAAGTGATGAGCTTAGCATGGATAAAGATGACATTTGGATGTCATTCATACAATGGGCTACTAAACGAGTACCTGAACTAGAGCTTAGGAATTACCCAGATAATTTGTCATCTAATGGCATTCATACGGTCAAGACATCATAGCAGATTGTATACCCCATATAAGATTTATCAATATCTCCCCTAAGACAGTTGTTCTGTATAATGGTTTATTTCCAAGAAAGATGTGTCATGATATACTCAATTATCATATGGATAAAGATCATCAACCAAGTTATCACAAAAAATAGTAATAGGACAAGGATGTGAGATTGACTCACTTATTACTAACAAGCAGAATGGATCTCATCTGGTATCAACAAAGCAACATCAAGAGAAGCAGAGGACACCCAGGAAGCATGGTGTTCATAGGTTTATAGAGATGGTAATACAGTTACAAAATTTAGGGAAATGTGTTAATCACAATTGTTGTTGGGAAAGTGTTGGTAATGATAGTTTGGATGCTATTTTTGATCTTAATGGTTATTTCCTACATTTAGGAATGGCCAGAATTGTTTTTTGGAAATAAATATGGTGACATGCCATCTGCAACTGAAAGTACATACCAAACTCCAATAAAGACACTTTTGGATGGCTTGATTGGGGAGGTGTTTTCAATTTCCAAACTTTAATTCATTACTTATTATCTACTGAACAGTTTAAATAGTGATAGTAATCCCCTATTGCTTAGGACTCTTAAAGGTATAGTAAACTTTATTAGGAATAACATTTTCTTACCACAATCTTTAGTCAAGAATTCACGATCGTAGATAGGTTGGTAATAAATTGGTGAAGGAATGATTGATTTCTCTTCGTCCGTGATTCCGTCGTCGCAAATGCTGTTGTCTTCTTCCCTGTATTAATTAAAGATCAATTAGATTAACTTTTGGTAGGTATATCCATACTGCTGCTGAAGTTTATCCTTCCTGAATGGCGCATTCGTTGATAGACACAAGTCATCAAGAAAACGCTTCACAGATTCATCTTCAGATCAGATCAAACTTTCGAATGCATATATCCAAGATTAACTCAATGCGTCTAGAAAGGCAAAAAAATTTTCAAACGAGTCGATGGTTAATTCAATCCAGTTGTCACACTCACTTCATAGACATTCGTTTTCGAATCATGCTTTCGTCAAAGTCTGTTGGGTAGTAGTTTGAAAACGTAATGTTTGTAGTTATATGCTAATTCGATAGTCACGGGATTTGACTTACATAGCGATCTCCAATAACTATGTTACACAAATATCGGAAGAAATCTGCTTGACGAGAGATTGCTTTAAGAGTCATAATCGACTCGATTAAACTTTGTGCAAGATGAACAATATCGTTGATTTACCTTCGTCTCTTTCATCTGACTATGAGAAGCTTTACGAAAGTGGCAAATATACGGATATTTCAATTCATGTTGGAAGGGAACCAAATAGCAAAATATTCCTTGCACACACATTGGTATTATGCACAAGAAGCACATTCCTCGAGAGTAACCTAGCGGGAGATACGGGAGCGTCTAAAGAGTCTCAAAAAGCTGCCCTGGCGTTTGAAGATGTGTCACCTGACATTTTTGAAATTTTACTTCGGTAAGCTTTATAATTGATAAAGAGATGTAAACAGCTCAATGCTAAGACTAATAGCAAAATTGTAATTCAATAGATTTATTTATACTGGGCAAGTGTCCTATGATTTATGCAAGGATATAGGTTGGATTAGCCTTTTGGATGGAGCT